ATCTTGGGTCGACCGGCATAGGTTGGGAGAAGTGTTGGGAGAGGTTGAAAGAGTTTTTTCCTGACACAGCATTTGCAAAGTCCAGCTGCAGGAGGCAGACCGACTGACACTGTTGGGACGCATGTTTCCAAAGGCAGGACTTGAGACTCAAACGGTTCAGACGCTCGATTCTGGGTGGACTACTTGCACAGAAATTCAGAAACCCCAGATGCATTATCTCATGCACCCGGAGAAAAGTCTGCATGTCTTCGATCGATTGGCCACTTTATTATATAAGATCGATTTGATTCAGCTTTCCTGCCAGCAATCAATGATCTTTCTCCTGTCGGACAACCTGGGACCCTCCTCTCAGTTGACAGAGCTTCCAAAAGACACCTGAACCATGATCCCGACCAACGGATCACTTGCGAGCAACCTCCTACTTTCGCCTCCCAACCGCTCTGATCGCGAAAAACACTGCTCCGGGCAGATCTGGAGGCGTCCAGTCCCCGCAATTTGGCCATCTACGCGCAGCCGCGGCTGCCGCGGCGCTCGAAAAAAGTCGGACCGACCTCTGGTGGGTTTCTGGTGTCCGGTTTCCGCCAGCCCAAGACGGCAGCGGGGGTCATGCTTGTAGTGAGAAGAAGAGCTAGTCCATTTTCTTGTTCATGTGTTATACTCTTGTCTCTTTTGTAATCGCTAGAGGCCCCCCTGCTACCCATCCACTGCATTGTGATGTGGCCTACAGCAGGAACAATCGTCTTCTTGGTTGCGTGGAATATTGTCCCACATGATGTTGGGATTGCGCCGGCTTAGGTGCAGCACCAGCAGAGGGAAATGCAGTACTTGCAGAATCTGAGACATGCGCACGGTGGGGAGGCTCAAGCTGCTAAAGCCGGAGAACGATAGCGCTAGACCCATCTGTCGTGTTCGGAACTCAGATGATCCAGGCCGGTCATGTCCTCAAACATGTCCTCGGACGTCCGTCCCTGGTTCTTGATGGTGGCTCCTGATGCATTTGACCTGTCTTTCACCTCCTTTCACCAGGACGTTCTGGACCACGAACTGCGAACAAGCCCGCAGACCTTGGTTGGTTCGGTTGGTGCCGGTCCCATGGCTCAGGGGCGTCTGATGGAATGGCCCTTGCTGTCTTCTGCACCACTGGTCACAGAAAAAGGATCCTGGTGAAACATTGAGCTTGCATTTGCTTGGTGAGTCCATGGAAGCACCGTTTTCTCCACAGAGCTTTAAGATAAAAGACATGTATACTTATATACATGATGCATAGACTGGCCCGATTCAATCGGGAACCATGATCTCGACCAAGATCATCTTAAAGATTAAAGCCATGGCGCAGTGTTGTCTCGCCCAGGCCGTGAAGATGTTCCATCCAACTTCCAACAGAGGTTAAGTGACCTTATAGGACCCTACTGGGGTACTATGGGGTACCTATAGGATAGTCTATAGGGTTCTTCAACCCTCTGCTGGTTCCCCATTTTGGAAAACACCAACATCCCCAGGTCCCGCCGCTGCCGGCGCTGCCGCTACCTGCGCTGCTGCGACCAACACCAGCGCCCACGGTGCCGGTGCCGGACTGATGGTACGATCACCCTCTCCAGGCCGAGAGTCGGGCCAGGCGGAAGCGCGCCTTCGTAGCGCCTCTCTGCTGGGAAGTCTTTGTTGTGGAGAAAGCAAGGCCCAGGCAGTCTTTGGGGGGAGTGATTTTCCAAGGAGATAGGAACAGGTCACAAAGTACTGGCTTGGGAGATGCGAACAGATGGAAAACGGTTAATCTGGAGGTTCCAAGAACTGAGAGAGTCGGGCCTTTTTGGTTCCCAGAAACATGGGGCTGGATGAGGAATCTGGAAGATGTTTGGCAGAGAATTAGACTCTATTAGACATTTGAGTGGTCTCAATCTTTGGGGGTTAGTTCACTTTGGTGGAGGTATAGATTGGATTTTGGATGTGGTCGTCCAAAAGCTTCACAGCTCTTCAGAGGGGAGACCAAGAACAACAACAACAACAACAGCACAACCACCACCACTGCTGGGTTTGCTGCTGCTGCTCCTTCTCCTGATCCTACCGCTACTTACTAGCGCTACCGATTTACTCCCGCTACCGAGCTGCTACTGCCAATTCTACTCCCAGCCTCCGACTAACTACAAATGCTGCAGATCACCACATGTCAGTCAGGGATTATTTGTGCCAGGCTGATTGGTGCCAGCGGATCAGGCTATTTGATTACAATGTTCCGAGAACAGCTATATAGTCCTGTCCACCGAGTGTCTTGGTAGATGGTGGTTGTTCCCTTTTGGGGCTCGTGGAGGCCCCCTTTTCAAAAAGTTCTGGCAGTAGGTACTAGCAAGCCGCCTGCTGTACACTTGCCAAATCCATCAATGAAAGGCCACTTGGCCGCTGAAGTGTTTACTGAAGATTTTGTTTACGGAGACGTTCCTTTCTGTTTGAGTCATCAGGGCAACCCAAGACGTCCCACGCCTTCAAACATATCTAGTAGCCCCATACACCGGGTGATGAGCAGCGTCAGAAGGCAGAAGATAGCAAAGGATTGGTTTACTGCAGGCCAGTGACGTAGGAGTTGTATAGTGAAACATAGTGAAGCGATAGCCGAACAAATAAAGAACCCAAGTAACCCAAGTCATCAGGAAGAACAAACAAGACATACCACAACTCGATGTCGCCAAATCATACAGAAAAAACAAACCAACCAACCACCCTGGTTAGCACATTCATGTTGATTTGCACATCTAAAACGCTCGAGATAGGTTTGATTGGATTGGAGCACCCCAAGTGACCCTGAGCCAGGTGCAGCGCGGGCGTTGCGGAATCCTCCCACAGGTGACTTGGAGCAAGGCCAGCAGTGCAAACAGGCCAAATGAAAGAAGTGCAGCCGTCCTGGACTAGAATCGATAGTTGATAAAACTTGGAGTGGACGTGAGTAGACCATTTGCAACCGGTAGGCGCAGGGGAAGGCTAAAATTTGAGAACCCAAGTGTTCGATTGCCTGGGATTCTATTTGCTTTTCGATGCATTTGGGCAGCACAATGATTCGACTGACCTTCAAAAACCAGAAACTGAAGCATTCTCATCCCAAAACAACAATTCTTTGCCAACACCCTTGGATTACGGTGTTCTATGGTCATTTGTTTGATGAGACATGTGTTTCAAAGGCGCGCCGGGTCTGGGTGGGTTCAACCTTGCTCCGGTGGTGACGAGGTCGGGTTCATTCGAAGGGGTAGACTCCTTGATTCATCATCCACCCCAGTTGTTCTAGGCTTTGATCAGGCCTTTTCAGGCTCAATCCATCTTGGATCGGTATTTTGCGCCATGAGTTGGAAGGATGGTGAGAAAGAATCACCATGTTGTCCATGCTGTGGCTGCTCAGGTGGAGCAAGAGATGGCCAGCCCAGTGAGCCAACCAAGGACGGTGGACGGTTTTTTGGATTTTTCAAGTCCTCCGTGCTGGGCGCAGATAGTCGCAGGACTTTCAACCAACACCCACCCGAGCTTGGGAGTGGGGGAGCCCAACAAGAATGACACCATAGATGGCTTCCCTTGTTTGGTTCATCAATAGAGGGGATGCCCCCAAGTGAACAACCAACGCACATATGGTACCAAAGTGACTCCTCAATTATTCCCAAAAGGACAAAGTCCTTCATTTGGGGACGAGATGGGCATATTTGTTGGCAAAGGGGGGAAAGACCACACACAGCGAGACGAAGCAAGATGTGAGGGAAATAGAGGTAGGCCGAACGAGGATGGCATACTAGCATACACTGTACAAGCAATCTGTAACGGTCGCGAGACTGCGAAGATTTGGATTGCCAAACCATCTTCAGATGCCAAAACTCGAAGCAGGAGCTACCTCCAACCTGGATGAAATCCGGAGTTACCTCTAGGGCCCTGTAGGTCGCAGCTGCGCCCCAAAAACCAGAAAAGCCACGCCCAGGAACCACACACCAACCCCCAGTGTGCCTTTGTATTTTGATAGGGGACCCCCTGATACAATGGGCTTTGGTCTATGTTACATGTTCCTTCTTCCAGGGGGTCAAACAGGGAGGTCTTTAATAACACTCCCAAGTGCTCTCCGGCCACGCGGTCTGCGGGAACCGCCGCCGAGCGGAGAGGCCGCCAGTGGCTACTCATCACCGATGGTCAGTCACATGGTGGCGCCCGGCGCCGGGGTGCACAGGTACAAGCTGTGGAGATTCTCCTCGCCTGACATCCAGGAATCTAAGGCTTCAAAGACCATACATCAGTGTGCTATCTACGGCTTAGAACAGGCCATAGTAATGTAGAACAGGTTGGAGGAGTTGGCAGGTACTTAAAGCTACAGTCATGGTATTTGGAGGGCGGAGCTACACCATTCTGATGCGGATTTGATCAGAACTGTTTTAGGCGGTTTGATTCTTTTGGGATTGTGTTTGCAGAGGGCATTCAATTTGGTCATGTTACTCACGCGGTTTTCCTGGTTTGCGGCAGGTTGCGGTTGGTTTCAAGAGTCTATAGTCTATGGTCTCTATATATATATATTTATTTATTTATTTATAGTATATATATATAAATACAACTAAGTGGTAAAATGGTTTGCAGTACCTAGAGGCTGTTACTGTTGTTTTCATGCCAATGGATGGTGTTGGATGGTGCTTCAACTCCCTCAATCCAAGGAATTTGCTGATCCAAGAACTCTCCAAATCCTAAAGAGAGAGCTGGATTTGTACCTGAGAGTACCTGAGATCCTGGATTGAGGAATTTGCTGATCCATCCAGGATTGTTGCACCAAACTCCTGGAAGTACCTGAAATGGTTGTTGCAGATCAATCGCTTCTGCTCAAAACTGGCGGCACACGCATTGGATTTCCACATGGGGTTTGAGGGTGACAGTTTAACTCCCTAACATGGCAAATGGTGCTTTGGAACACGGCCTGTCACAAAAAGGGTGGGTTTTCCACTTCCATGTGAAGTCGGGATTTTACAATCCTAGGTTTATCGGATTGTAAAGCCACAATCCTAGTATATCCTAGTTGTCCAATTCCAACAGAGGTGGGTCAGAACCCTAGTTCGACTATCCCAGTTGGGTACCCCAGGTGTTCATTGTCCTATTTACGGTCACTTAACCTCTCTTGGTTCCTTTCACCATGTGTTCGTCGCAGAATCAATCCTGGTTCGGGGATTCCACTCTTCGCTCTTCTTGGCCCCGCAAATCAGGCGTCGCTGGCGCCTGGTAGCAGGACGCCCCTCCCATCCGGTGCAACGACGCCCATCGTGACTCGGTTGGAAGTTGGCTCAGTTGAACATTCCTCATGATATGCCGGTTTCTTTTCCGACCCGGTCAGTGCACAACCTGCCCACCCTTTGTTGGGGAAGACCTTTGTTTTTCAGGCACACTGAGGGGGTCGGTTTTGCCTTTGGGGGGATCTCCTCCGAAGACATTTGATGACATTTGTATTGAATGAATGGGGTGTTTGGATGTTCCATGATTCCTTAACAAAATCCAAGTCCCAACCAGCAACATGGTGTTCGGAGAGACAAACCACCAGCTGCTTCGTTTGGGTTTTTCACACTGCCGGTGTCAGTCACCGGTCTGGGAGCCGTGAAGAAGCCGACACCGACACACGGGTTTCGCCAATGAGTCCGGCCCTGGCGTCTCGGGGTTTCTTCCTCGAGACGATGACTCTCCCTGGAACTCATTAGGTTACAGTCCCTAGGGCTCCTGGCCCACCTCCTGAGAAGGTGTTTGGGGTGGTTTGGAGGGTCCAAACACCTTCTGAGGAGGTACTTGGAGCCCTAGGGAGTAAATACCACGTGGAGTTCACCAGCTGTGTGTTACGTGGAGTTCACCACGTGGTCTTCCTTTCGGGGCCATTCTCTATTCCACTTCCACCATGTATGGAGGGATGCGGAGCAGAGGCATGTCGAGGCCATGAAACGATGGTCCCACATCTTCGCAGGGGCAGCAGTAGGTGCTGGCACAAGTGTTCACTTTCTAAGGTGGGGTGAACCGGCGGACCCTATTTTGGCCCAATCAGAGGATTGGAGAATAGGACAATCCTCGAGTCACACGTTGAGTCAGTGAATGGCCTTTCAGCGACTCTTGCAGATTGGTTTCTCATGTCCCCCCACTGAACAGATAGAACAAGGTCTATCGTTATACTCACAACCTGCATTTTCCAGAGAAACTGAGAGAGTCAGGAGCGGATCAATCCATCCATGTCCACGTGTCATATAGAGACCGGCTCACATCATGATTCATGCGAATGCCCGGCGGACCATGGTAAACCAGCCGGCAAAAGGAGACTCAACATGCTCTTAAGATGAACAACATCCGAAAGTGCCAGGGCCACGTGGGTCCAAGACCATCCACTTCCGTCTCCTCCCCGAGGTCTACCCTGCGCACGGATCGTGCCGAACCGAATCGCCTTTGGTTCCTCGGCAGAACTCACGGACGAGAGCGGCACGGCCGGGGTCCGGCCATGTTCGCCACTGAAATCCTTGGAGCCAATGACGAGACCACCTGGATTGATTTGCATCTGCCACTATTCTCTAACACTCCCATCTTCCTATCATATGAATCATCCTGAGTGCAATCCTGGCAAAACTCACGACTGGTCTCTTAGTATTGACTGGATGTGCTCCTTTTGATCATTTGTGTGAAAGTTTGGGTCTACGTTGTTTCTTGAACACTCACGTCCCTTTCTCATGCACCTCATTTACCACGACATCGGTGAATTAGAGAATCAATTCAGGGACCTCTAGGAGAACGACAGGTGGAATACTAGCGCTACTAGCGTGATTATGGACTTAAAGCTTAATTAATGATCATCACCACTTCAACAGAAATCCATGAACACCCGCAACATTTTCCCAGCCTGCTCTGGATAGCCTGTGGAAGCACGTGCTGTCTTAGCAATGGCGACCTTGCGGCTGTCCCGCACCTTCATCGATGCAGAAGAGGGAGTGAACGACTCGACCTGTCGGGCCAGGCGTGGTCGGTCGGACGACGAACGCGAAAAGAACTGCCAACAGAGGTAGCCAGTGACTGGGACCATAGGACCCCAGTAGCTACCTGGGGTAGCCTGGGATAGTCGAAGGGCGTCGGGTTCTGACCCACCTCGGCTCTGAAGGCTGGTCCGGTGATGATTCTTCTCCCAACCGGTTCCCTAAGCAAATCCCGAGTAAGGATTGGTGATGGAGCATACACGTGGCATACACGGCTGAATGTGGATCATGAACGGCTGAATGTGGAGATATGTGGATCATTTTGGGATTTGGATGAACATGAAAAAATCAGATACTGGACTTTGGGCGTTCATTGTGTTGACCAGGGGGTTCGCACCTTAACGCGGCCATATGATTCTTTGGTTCTCTTATGTTCTCTTTTGTGTCCTTCGCAATGTCTTTTGCATGAAGCATGTTCCTGGTCAGGAGCTTACCAGCGGAAGCACGTGCGGCCGCAACATGCGAGGTTGAGGAGTCTGAGTGGCCTCGCATTTCATCGCCTTACTTTTTGATGATCTCCAAAGTACTCCCCCACAAACGATCCCATAGAACCTGAGAATTGACCCGTGGAAGACGATGTTCCTCTACAACCCAGTAGTTTGGGCGTTCCATGTGGTCCTCTGCAGGGGAGTATATAGATGGACATGTCCCTTTTTCCAACTTCGAAGGATGTTCGCCTCACCAAGGCTCGGTGGAGGGAAGTGCAACGAGCTCCAACAAAAGCCATCATCTGCAAAGAGGTGCGTAGTTTCACCTCGGAAGACCAACCCCCTCCCCCTAGGTTCGGTTAAAAGACCATCTACCCAGCCAAGGGCGATATGTTGGGGGGGTTCTCCCAAATACACCGTTCCATACCGTTCCTTGCTGTTCCTTGCTTGCTTCAGGTACGTGGCGAGTTTGCGACGCGAGGTCGAAGTCGATGGCCAACTTCACTTACCAGCGGCGTGGTCGTGGGAGTCGAGGTCGAAGAGGCCTTTTACAAGGGGGAGCAGTGTGGGCAGCCACGAGTAGTAAGCAACCGGCCCTCCGCCCTCGGTCTATGGTCTATATATGCTGGTTGACAGTGGTTTGCCATGGTTTGCCTGGATCCGCTGGGCATGTGACTCATCTGACACCGACCAAAAGACCTTCATGTAGGTGATCCTGTGCAATTCTTCGACATACATAGCCTGGACACGACACAGGTCACAGCCGGTGGTAGTTCGAGTCTACGCACTCCGCCGCACGAGTCACGTCCAGTCCTTTGGAAGATGAGGTGCTACATGTTTCTGGTGTGTGACTGCTTGGCGTTGCTAGCACTACAGGTCTGACTGCTTGGCGTTGCTTCTCCGCCTTTGTGCTGTTGTTTTTCTCAGTCTTCATGCTTGACCTTTTTTTCCTTGGTTTCTTATTTTGGCACGTCATTCATGCCGAGTGTTTGCCTGGGTGTTGTATTGCTCTTATTGCTTTGTCCCTTCCAGCGCTGGATCTGAAGAGTTGCTGTTGCCAGCTTGTGCCTAATTGGCACCGTTTAGGCTTCTAACCATGCGGCATGCGTGTGCCAAGCTAGATTTCAGCCAACGGTTTGTCTCACCATTTCGCCCCAAAAAGACGCCGTTTGGGTTTGAACACAAGGTACAGACGGGGGTGGCCATCCGATGGTCTCAAAAACCTGTTAGGCGAAGTGCCTGCACACATGAGATCGTGGATTATCTTATCATGCGTGGGATGCCTCAAGATGCGACAAGCTTGGCTAAGTTAGAAGATAGATCTTCAGTCCTTGTAGCACACTCTGGGATGCTCGGTGCCACCGCAGGCAACGATCCAAGCAGAGGTTCCAGAGGAGCAACTGACCGTGGGCAGCATAGGCCATCCTGTCCTTTGCCGGCGCGCTTGCGTTTGGTTTGCCAAGGGGATGTGCAGCCTAGTTTTGCGTTTTGAGGTGATGTTTAATGTAGACTCTTGATTAATAAACCCCCCAGGCTTGAAGACGATTTCCACTTGCCTTTTTCAAGAGTCTACATTGCAGTATTTATGTGTATTTCATTTTCTTTCCCTCTACTGTAATTAGGTGAATCCCGTTCTGTGGAAGAGTTTTTCACGGTTCCTTACCACACTCCATGTGTGGAATACATGCCTACATCGACCCCAGGTCAACCATCCGCAACCATTGAGTTCCTAGTGGCGTCCTTGTTCCTAGTAGTAAGGCCAGGAGCTACTAGTAGCGTCCTTGCTCCTAGTAGCGATGCCCTTTGTTCCTAGTAGCTTCTTGTCCCATCAAACGCTTGGGGCTCAAATCCAAGGCAGTCACAGTGCCAATTGTTCCTATTGTCACCTGCCTCACCATGCGAATATCACCTTCGACAAGCGCCAGTGGCAGCAGTTGCAACAGATGGCCACTGGATCGCAGTATGGGTTGGGACCCAACAGAGGTTGAAGGACCCTTTTGCCTATCCCATAGGTATCCCAGTAAGGCCCTATAAGGTCACTTAACCTCTCTTGGACAGCATGCAGCGACTTGGTTGCTTCATGTTGTTTCAATCTGCTTGCCGACTCAGCCTTCCCACAGTTCTTGCTTGCCGACTCTGCCTTGCCAGGAACACCAACACAGGTCTACCATTTTAAGACACATGGAGAGCACATTGGCCAAGAAACAACTCACAAGGTCCAGCAGCTCACAACTCACAAGGTCTATCTATAGGTTCTCTCCCACCACCCAGTAGCATCACCAACTCCTACCGGCGTGTCGTTCGCAAGGATCTCGCTTCCCTCTTGGCCATCCTGCTGCCGTCGCTCCGCGCCACCTTGGCAGCGGCTGACTTGCCGAGGGAACCCGCAGCACAGTTGTTGGCCACAGTGGAAGCGCAGGCTGCACCCACTGCACTGCAGCACGACCGCCGGGGGCACCCAGATTTGGGGAGGTGCTGGGCATGCTGGGTATGCTGGGCTGGCCTTTGCTCATCCTTTGTTCACATCGGAACCCCAAGCAGGTTTGATTGGAAGATTGAGTTCGCAGATGATTCGAGTTGGAGGGGGGAGCTAGTATGAGCGATTAAAGATGTTCATGTTTGTTCATGTTTCAATTTTCAGATGTGGCCAGATGCAATGGAGGGCTGCTTTCAGGAATAATTAGTGGGCCCCATATTCCATGATGGAATGTTTTTGTTGCCTTCATGGTGGTACAGCTTGGGTGTGTCCCAGTAAACCAGTAACAGTCGATCAAAGATTATCAGACTATCACTATTTGGAGAATTGTATTAATAATAAAGATACCGTAATAATAATCATCATCATCATTGCATCCATTGTTAGAGGGAATTGGATATACCCAATTGTACAGCTGTCTAAAGTGGACTTGTCGAATTCGAGGCTGGGTGGTGTTGCCAAGGATGCCATATGAGGCCATATGGTCCGGTTGCTCAAGAAGCTGACATGGGTTGTTGTAGGACAACTCTTAGAAGAGACTCTTTTGCCATTTGTAACCATTAACCCTAGAAGTCCAAAGACTATATTTTGACCGACTGAAGTAAAGGATCTTCCTTTTGGGTCACCTAAAGACCATTCTTTGTATAGTCTTTGACTCCCAGGGTTAACCATTAACGTGGAGTCCTTTACAGGCAGCGAAACCTCTGTGAGAGTCGGCCGGCCAGGCCTGAGACCTGTGGGGGTGCTTGACCTTGCCAGTTCGGCCGAGGCATGCTTCAGCGAACCGTTCGGAGGATGTCATTGCAACTTGGAACACACAAGGGGAGAGAGAGAGAGAGAGAGAGTCAATCAGTAAACATGTGAAACCATGGCGAAACACTGCGTGCAGTTTGAACAAAAACCATGATGTAACAGTTGATAGCTAGGGGGTTATGATTGCATGAATTTGCATGTATGAGAGTAGATGGCACAATCCCCAAGTTCGGTGGTTTATCACCCATTCGTCTAAGACATTTGGGGGGCCCGTGCCATCGAAACTCTGACACCACTCTATGTTGCTCGGGCCGACTGCGGGGCTGCGTAAGCACATGAGGTCAGCGATGGTGTTTTGCGAACTCCTCCAAGAACATGTCGACCATCTTCGTCATGAGATGACCCTCCCATAGGTGTCGCTGTTCCAGGTGTCAACCACCTCCCTAAAGGATGTGGACGGGCTGAGACCATTGAAAGGCTCGACCAGATCCTTTGACATGCAAGAGTTTAATGGGTCCACCAGCTCCTTAGATGGACTTGAACTCCGTGTTTGTGATTCGGCTCTGAAACTCGGCGCTGCCATGACTGTCATGGTGCCAACGTTTTTGAGCAGCCTGGCGGTGGGAGAGGTGTCAGCGCATTTAATGGGCTGCAGTTCACTCCACTAGCCGGGCGCCAATACAGTCAATGAACATTCAGGTGAAATATTGCCTGAGAGGCTTAGGACAAGCCTGTGTCCATGATTGCTGGAGAAATGCTTTCACTTCCTTTTTGAAGGCTGCATGATGTTGTACAAGGTTGCAGGTCGCCCACGTGTTCACGGCATGGGTTTGTGGAAGCCCTTTAAATTCGGAGTTTGCCGCGGACAAAAACTCTTTAAAGCTGTTGCACAGATCAGACAGCCACAGAAAGCAAAAGCACCGTCCAAACGCAGAACTGATCAGTGCAATGCCGTCAAACCACTCGTGTTCATCACGGGGGACGGGGAAACCGACGAACTCCCTCCAGCGGCAGTTCGAGCAGCTTTGAGGGGCGGATTTCCCAGCAAGTCCACTCCCAATGGCTCATCGACTAGAGAGGCATCGGAGAGGTTCCCAAACCTATTCCAGGGTACCAAGCAATGTCCAGCAAGATTTTCTGGGACCACGGTTCGCACTGTTGCGCTGAACTGCCTAATTTGATTTTCCTGCTGCGACGGCAGTTCTGGAGAAACCTCAGAACACGCTGAATATGTCGCTGTTGCTGGACAAAAGTTGGAACAGCTGCGCTGAAAGTCGAAGTTGTAGTTCCATTGTAAACTGTGGGGCCAAGTGGAGTGGCACCCGCAATTCCAGAATCAAGCCAAGTTGATGAGTTCTGTCCTGGAAATCGAATACTCGGGGCCTTGGAAGGTCAAGCTTGATATCTGTAGTTTCTTTGTTTCCTCCACCCGACACCGACCCTGCTGGGGGGACCAACCGACCTATGTACCTGCAATTACCTGCGTGCATGATCCAGCGTATGCTGCTGTGTTTTGATCGCGCCTTTCATAGGCTTCCTGTGGTGGAGACGGTCCATCCACCCAGCTGTAGCAAGTGAAGTAGGGGAGAACACAATCATATATATCCTTCATATCCTTTTCGTACCTTGGGAGTGCAAAACACTCCCTGATATAGTTGTTGAAGTGGAAAACCACCACTGGCTTGGTCATCGGATTTGGTCATCCGAACTTGAGGCAGCCATCCTGGGAAGACATCCACGTAAACATGATGCTTTTTGTTGGGATATGTATGGCTTTAACATGCTGCCAACCATGTTTGCACGTTGCAACCGTTGATCTTTGTGACATTCGACTTTTTGAGCTCTAAAGATGCCTTGGATGTTGCGAAAGCTCCTCCGTGGAGAACTTCGAATAAACGCACGACTGTATGGATACAGGGACCAACAAAGGTAGCCAGTGCCCGGGACCATAGGACCCGGAAGCTACCTGGGGTACCCTGGCCTGGGATAGTCGAACTAGGGTTCTGACCCACCTTTGCTGGGAGTTCTTTAGGTTGGGGCGACAGCCAGAGACCCTCCAAACTTCACACACTCATGGGCGGGTGTGATGACTCGCTGTCAGGTCTACCCAGCGAGAACAATCTCACCAATGGTGCTGGACTTAGGATTCGAAGTCGCACAGGTGAGGGGTGGCTGATCGTTTTCTGGTGCTTTCGGAGGCGGGAGGGCTGTTCTTGCAGCAGGAGAGCAGTTCTTGTAGCAGTTCTTGCAGTGTGTTCTTGCAGCAGGTGTTGCATGGTGTTCTTGTGAGGCTTGTTTTGCTACACTGCTAGGCTATACCCACTGGATCCAGGCAAACCACGATTTCGCTGGCAACCAGTGGTTCCAAAGACTGAAAGCAATAGGGGTCCACTGGGATAGGGATGGCTACCATGGATTCGCACTGTTGATTCTTGGATTCGCGCGTGACCGCACGCTGCATGAGTGGTTTGCTTCGAACACGTTGACCGCTTTCGGTCATGCTTTCGACTGGGCATCCACAGCGAGGGTAGCACCACGGTTGGCAGGGAATGCAGCAACAAGGGCTACAGGTGTGGGTCCAAACCAGAGGACCTTGGTCGACCACTGAACATGAAGATACAGATACCAAAAACCAGGGTACCAACAGAGGTGGGTCAGAAACCCTAGTTCGACTATCCCAGGCCAGGGTACCCCAGGTTTTCCGGGTCCTATGGTCCCGGGCACTGGCTACCTCTCTTGGTATACCAGACATGGTCAACCTTTCATGGTTTGCTAGGGGAGGATTTGATCCACCACTGCCGCAGATCCCTTCGGAGATCAGAAACCTCTTCTGACTGGTGCGACTCGTAGGGAATAAGGGAAGTTTCGCCCCCAATAGAGATTCTATTGGATCCAGCCACCCATCATTCCCTGCGAGTCGCACCAGTCAGTCTTGAGTTCTTTCCTTCAGGCGAAACAGGTGGCCGCTCCCGTGCGATATGGAGCCTATGCCATGAAGGCGCTTCAAATGGAGCTAAGAAGCCGGGCGATATGGAGCGTGTAAGGAAACCAAGTGCTTGCGGTATAGAGCAGGCTCACCTGGAAACACAGCTCATTCCATGGGTATGATTATTTTCTTCTCAAGTTATAGTATGTTGTAGCCATAGCGTGTGTGTTGTTGAATTCCCTTTGTTGCAGAAGTGCTGTATGAGCTTTTGCCTCTTATGTTCTTCAATGCTTCAGATGAAAAACCTCCGAAGTGTGGTGTCGATCCACTCGGGCTCCAGGCCGGCGTCCCAATGTCTCCGGCCGCTGGCCCTGTGCCTGGCCACGTGACCTTTGGCCAGGAGCCCCAATCCACCTCCACCATCGCTATTAGGGTGGAGGCCATTACTACTAGCAACAAGAAGCTGAGCCCGGTGAAGCGGGTGAAGGAGGAGCACCAAAAAAAACATCGCGCCGAAAAAGCGGTGGAGCAGTGAATCGCGTTTCGAAGGCGTGGAGACACAGAGTCTCTCCACATGTCGTTGTGGGTGAGGTCAACCACACCCGTATTGGTCTACGATAGGTAAAGCTTCTGGTGACGGATGGGGACTACGATGAGGTTTGGAAAAGATATCCATGACCCTGGAGTTGTTCGAGGTGAGATGGTCAGCCATCCTGAAGTGTAGTATCCCTAGGCTTCCAACAACCATTAAAGCATATCACTTTACCGAATCAACTAAGGATTTTACACTACAAAAACATACAAAAACCAGGTCAACAATTTGCTACATGGTCTTGGAAGTCTAGGGTATATACCTGTTGTCTTTTCAGATGCGCCACAATAAATGACCACGAAATACTACGAAGGATAGACGCAATTAGCTTTCATCCCTAGCCTTCCGAGACGCATCAAAAAAACGGTTGACATGCTGTTGAATGACCCTCGACTTCAACCATCTTCACCTGCTTCTTCGCTTTCGCGTTTCACTCGCCACGTGCCATCCATCTTCACCCGATATCCGAACGCCCGATTCCTCGGTCTTCCGAGGTGCTGTGGTGATGAATGGGCCTGGGAACGCCGAGCGCGGCTGCGGGCGATGTGTCAATCACTCCTCTGATATCCTGACCTTGGAGGGGTTCATGTGGGGATGAGAAAGCACCTCTAGGACGTATAGGAGAAGGGAAGTGGTTGTTCCACTTGGAAAGGGACATGGGATGGGGATATCTGTGGAGTTAGTTGCCCGCCCTTGAAGGTCAAGCACGCGTGGACTGGGCGTTGGTCAAAGTTTGCATACATCTTCGGACATGTCCGATTGTGAATTTGAGAAGGTTCATCATTCTGCGTGATTTACTCTTGTATACCCATTCTTGGGAATGAGACATGGTGTGACCAGCTGGTGTTGGTGAACTTGTGGAAAACATCAACGACACCCCCGGACGACGTTGCATCCAAGCTGGCTATGCGCAGAGACTCCATGTATGTTAGGAAGTGCCTACATTGACCCCTCTTGCTACCACTGCAGGTTTGGATATGCCAGTCCCATACAGCCATACAGCTGTTACGAGCTGTTTGTTGAAAATAAATACACTCCCCACACCTCAAATACCCCTGGTGTTTCCACCTTCGATGCGACCACCAAATGCCCCTCCCATCTTTCCAGCCGGACCAGCCTGTGGAGGCGTGAAGTGGCTCGTCCACAGGCCTGGCCTTCCGAGGGTCCAGTCGGAAGACCTGGTGTTGTAGTTTCTTCCAAGAGAGGTAGCCAGTGACCTGAACTAGGACCCGTCACCTGGGGTACCCAACTGGGATAGTCGAGCTAGGGTCACTCAACCTCTGTTGGTTAGAAATAACACAATGCCTTAAACAATCTCCAATTTCCTTTTGAAGAGGCTCATATTGGACCCTCACAGGTTGGGTTGGTTTTGACCCTCACACCAAAGATCACAAAAGCCTAGTTGGACCTCAATGGGTTTGCTGCCCAGGAGTCAGGAGAACAAATAGATCTTCTCCAGTATCAAAGATACCAACAGAGGTTGAAATCTATAGACTATCCCATAGGTACCCCAGTAGGGTCCTATAAGGTCACTGAACCTCTCTTGGTATTCACTCAAACAGTTTGCCACCAACACCAGGGGGTCACCTGACGGTTGCCTTCGCAGTCAGGCTTTTCACTCCGGAGTCGATCAAAACATCGGGCTCGACAAAGGTCCTAGGCCCTCCAGGGCTTCCTGGCCCACCATTGATTTAATAGCCTTCACCGAAGAACCATTGTTTTGCGCTCAGGGTTTTACACTACAGCACCCGTGGTCCACCATTTGTAATGGTCTTGGAAGTGTTGTGATATGTTTAAGATTGTTTAAGCCCAAAGGCTCATGGACCGTCCAAGTTACATTCCGACTAACATGGTTACGTGGATGGCATGGCCCCGAAAGGAAGACCATTTTCCACAGACAGGTGACGTCCACTTCCACGTTAGTTCCAGGGAGAGTTCTTGGTGTGGTGGAGGAGGTGGATTTGGCCAAAAATCCTGAATGTCCTGCATGTTTGCATGATGGTTGTTCGAATCGAACGATTCTCTCGAAAACGACGTTCGTTGGCG